GTTTCGTGGCGTTGATTTCAACGTGGAAAATCAAAAAGGCATTATTTTGCTCTGCTACTTCCGAAAAGGAGAAAAAGGAAAACACTGTGCAAACTCCAAAAAAAATCATCCGATATGCACGACGACGAAGTTGTCAAACTACGGTAGTGTTAGAATCGATTTGTTCAATTAAATTCCACCGTTGACGAAAATATGAAATCATTCTCAGAAGATTTACCGTTTTTCGAACTCGCGGGATCACGAAGTTGCCCGAAAAAAAATGGCAAAAGGCAATCGAACAAAATGGCCAACATATAGTCTTAATAGAGTTCATGTTTCTCACGAAAGATTCGTTTATACACATAAAAAAAAAGAAAGAAAAATGCGAAACCTGACTAGTCAGTAAGAACGCGAGTTATGCCAAACAAAAACGGACACACGTTGGAAGGATCGTCTGCTTGCTGATCGCAAGTAGCAGACTATTCAGAAATCTGCAGATCGAATCGCTTTGAACGTCGTTCGTTCTGGCGGGTTATGCGCGCTGATTTATCGGCAACGGGACGCGCAAACGAGACAAGCATTGAAAATCAATCGTTGAAAGCGTCGTTTTCAATAGAGCCGGCTCGAGGAGACGCCGCAACCTTGGCAGGCAATTCGCAGCTAAAGGTTCACGCAATTACCGGCCGGCAGTCGCGCGCGCAGCTAATTTGCATCTCCGCGAGACTAAGAAAACGTAATTACCGTAATTTATCACGGGATTCGTCGCTTGATAAACAGAACGAGCGCCGTGGCCTGAATTACGATATCGTTGCTCGCGTGAGGGGAACAACCGCCCTCTGAAATTCCCTTGTTTCCCTCGAAATTCCTTGTACCTACAACTATCGCGTCGTTGTGTCACGAATCGTTCATCCGAAGATTCTGAAATGCAAGATTCCTACCGACAAATAATATCGTGTAACATTTATTCTATAATATTTTGTATAATACTTTCGTTTCGACTTCAAAACAATATTTGTCTTTAGCAAGACAATCGCAACGCAAAATAATTGAAACGATCGGCAACAAGCAGGTTGAAAAATCGGCAGAAAATAAAAATTTTACAATTTTCGCAAGAGCAACGTCAGAGAAATTCTAATCTAGCTAAATGAACTGCGATCGAGATTCCTCCATGACGAATTATATAATTTATATTCGGGGATAACAGATCAATCACATTCATCCCGCGACAATCATCTGCTTTAATTCGATGGAATTCTTGACACGGTTTAATTATACGCGAAAATCCAATTTGACTGGACAACGTTAATTGAAACGAAAATGGCTGAACATTCGATCGAATTATTTGCCGGGTACTTGAGCTCTCGTGGATTATCATTTTCAAATTGCAGCTCGATCGACGAAATTAAAATTGAGTATCGCATGTAACCGACAACATCATTCCAACGCGAGAAAATATTAATACCTGAGGCGAGAGGTTATGCGCGGACGAGGACATAAATAAATTCCTTTAATTCTTTCGTTCTTTCTTAATTATACAAGGAGTACTGGAACGAAGATGATTGAAATTTGAAGCTAATTCAGCTGTGAAAAAGAATTCGAAGGCGTTGAATTTTGGACCGCTAAATCGTGGCAAAAAAATTCAAATTCAAATTCGAAATTCGAATATATATATAAGACTAAATTTAATATTTTATAAGACGAAACAAATTTTCGTAAATTAGTTTCCCTTATATATAGACATCGAGAAGAGAGATCGTTTTTAATAACAAAAGTTTAACCGATTTCTCGATAGCAAGTACGTAATTTTTAATGGATTTGTAAAACAGAGTAATCAAGGAGATTCGAACGCCACGATGGCTATAGTTTTCGACGGGAATATTTGTCGGGCGCGTAATAACGATGGAATGTTAATTACGTAAATTAAAGTGAATGGAACGTGTTAAATATTGAAAAGTATTGGAATTCCTGAGTAATTCGATCAAACGAAAGGGATTAACAAACTCTCTATCTATCTCGGTTAAAAATATCAGAGTACGAAGTAGTTCTGGAAACTTTGGCAATCACAATCGCCGAACTTACTATAGCACATTGTCTTCTAACAATCGATCGATTAAATATCAGTTTAAGATTATTAAATATCAATAATATAGCATAACGATATTTAAATATCAACGTACGTAATCACAAGTACGTAATTTGAAAAACATTATCGACATTATCGATAATATTTAAGTATCAATTTAGCATGACGTGCGTGTAATTTGAAGAAACATTATTCGCAATGTATGCTCCACTCAATGTATCGACATGTTTGCTTTCTTAGAAACAACTACAACGGCTACCAAGTTCTTTCTCTCTCAAGATGCAATAAAATCGTTCACACTTGACAGCATAGAGTCGCGCGAGTGATAGTAGTAATGAAGCGAAACTTAATGAACACTCACCGAATGATCTTTCTCCTATTGTTCGGATGAAAGGTCTTAGCCATTTCCGGATCGATGCGAGTCAGCTCCTGGTAGAGTTCCTCGTTGCTCCTCGTGGTCGACCGATCCAATTCTACTTTCATCCTCTTTGACCGCGACACATCATCCACTTCCTCGTCCATCCGTTGCTTGTCCTTGTCTATCAGAATCTCCCAAAGTACAGACTCTATGTAATAGTTGGTCCCGCCGACGATGATCGGGAGCTTTCTCCTCGCGAGCAGATCGTTGATCTAGATCGGCCGAAAGAAGAAGAAGAGGAACGTTCGAGGGAGAGTAAAAGCTGGCGCGTGCAACGTGCATCGAAAATCGGTGGCAGAGGGACCGTGGAATGCTACAACTATATCATGGTATCCCTCCTCTTCGTGGTAATCGTCCAGCTTCGTTCGAACATTTGCATTTTACGAAGCGTTTTCTCTGTTTTGGGGAAACGAGAAAGGGAGAAATAGAAGAAATCGTGTGGCCACGACCAACGGGTGAATTAGACTTTTTAGAGGGTGTTAGAGACAAGAGGGAGAGCAAATCTTGGGTTTAGCGGGAAAGCGGTTGCCATCGTATCTAAAGCGTGTACATGTCAGAACGTTCGCGCGCATACTATCACCGCGGTTAAGTGAAAATGCAAAAGCGTGGCTCGAGGGGGTTTGCAGCGGGCGTCGACAATTTCATACGCTGCTTATTAATTATTGCATCGCCGGGGCGACAACTGGGTATGCGAGCTATTAGTTCCACAAACGCGATTACTTTCCCCTCCTCCTTTCATTTTTTCCCCCTTTTTTTTTTCTAGTTTCTGGTTTCTCGAGGAACGAGACGCGCGTTTCGAAAGTTGCTGAACAGCCACCGGCATCACTTACAAACCACTGGACGAAGAGAGTCCTTGCTTTCTGTGCTGCGAACTCTGACTTTCCATGCAACGGATTTTTCGTCGTCGTTCACGGTCTCGTACGCACGTTCACTGGCACTATCATGTGACGAGTTTATTCGGGAAATATTTTCTCATAGAGAAAAACGGAAAACGAAAGACGAGAAAACGAAAAATAGGGAAATTACGATAGGTGCGGCCGTATTCCTGAACTGAACCACCGTGTAACTAGGATTCAAAGGATCTACGATATCCAGCATGTGGTGAGGGGCCATTTTCCTCTCCTCTTCTGTCACTTTCGCCGTGAGGATGTCCAGACCTTTGTATACCTGCGAACAGACAGAAAATTTATATCAAGATGGCTTTGAACACTTCATAGCACAATATTCGAGTAGTGAGATATTTAAAAAAAAAAAAAAAAAAAATTTGATCGTTTCGATAACCAGATTGAGGATTTTTATCCATTTTATTTACTGTCAGTTCGAAATGCAGAGAACTCACATGTAATACACAAAAATTCATAAAATATTCAAAATTCAGTACTCTCTGTAGTTTTCGTTAGGTGAATGAAACCTCTCAATGAATTGTGCATAATAGTAAATAAAAATTACCTACACCTGTTAATGCGAAATGTATAAACGAAAGCTTGTGTAAACTTTCTCCTATTCCTTGCATTCTTTCTTTTCCTTTCGTTTCTCGGATACATTCTCGTTCTATGCTTGGCCAGTTCTAATCACGATTAAGAAAATACACAGCTGGAGAAAGACAACGTAACACTGACAGTCAGAAAAACGACACGGACGTTGTTTTCACCTTTATTCAACTTTACGTCTCGCCAGGACTTTCGTGCAGACTTCGATACGTTCGATTCCCTGTCCCATTCACCAAATTCCCTCGAAATTGCTCGCATCGACGGTGGACAAAGATCCTTGCGATTCGTGGAACTCGCGGCTCGATCGTATTGAACGTGTCACGCGAATCGAAACGTCGAAACCATGGCGGCGATCGTATCTTGACGCTCGGCTTCATCGGCCATCGGCAACGAAGTTGAAGATAAGTGAAACGTAGAAAGCCGAATCAGGAAACGTCGAAGCCTGTGTCATGCTAGTTATCAACTGTTGCCAAGCCCCGGGCCGCTGTCAGGTCATTTCATTCTTTCCTTCGATAAGTGTCACCGCTGGCACAAGCGAGTCGACAAACGAAAAGGAAATTGCGAGAAACGGATAACCGCGCGGATTACTTCTTATCTGTCGGCGGCCACCGACTTTTTTAAAGCGAAGCTAAAGTTTAACGTCGCTCTGAGAGAAAAGGGAAAATCGAAGTTGAAGTGATCATACGATTTGCAGCAAATCTCCTTCCGTTCTATGCGTTTCGAACGTTCGCACGAAATATAAATGGCATCCCTTTGCGTTAAGTGGATTTACGTTTCGGATGACTGCATATTTACGTAATTTATCTTCAACTGAAATAAAGGTTATGGAAATGAACCCTTGAGTGTACATAGTTTTAATGTATACTATATATTAGTATATATAGTTTTAATACATAGTTCAGATCTACGCTCCAAATCAAAAAGTAGCTCATTCTAAAAATTGTTAAATTTCTCTTTATTAAATAAATGATACAAAATCTTATATACATTCTTCTACAGTGCTTTTGTCAACATGTATAAGTAACATAAATTAAACTTTGTTTGATAATTGTTTAATACTTAATTCGATCTCCTTTGCATTTAATAACGACAACCATTCTTCGAAGTAAAGATTTATATTATTTTTCAATGACTTTTTTTCTTAATTCTTCCAACTCTTCCACAATATACTTTTTAAATTCATTAATTACTTAGAATTATCTTCGAATTATCTTCCATTCTGATATACTTCCCCAAATTTCCCTAACAATTCCCTACAATATTCAAGTCCGCTAGCCGTTTTAAAAGCATGAATTTTTTTTGTTTGCAAAGCATCGTTTTTTACTGTTTTCGCGGTGTATACAAAAATATACTTATTTGTTCGTCAATCATTTCAATATATCTTCTACTATTCAATTTTTCTCTAATAAATTTTATTTCCATCTTACCTTAGTAACCAATACCTCCCCAATCACTATACCGCCGTCTTCCATAAATCGACGACTCGAAAGTTGTTGCTCCTTTTCGCAAATCATGACAATAGAGAAGATTATCAGATACATCTAAATTGAACCTCTCTTCATCGAGTAATACGACTCTTCGCCATTTTTCATTCGTGTAAACACGTTTCTCTGCAAAATTGCAAACAGCACAGCTTATTCTCTTGCCTGACCAAGTTTTTAGTTGCAATTCTTGTCGTTCAGGATGTTCGTAATCCTTTAAAAGATCGTACTTGTCGTAAGTTTTTTCTGCAATTTGTCTCGAAATCCCGAAATGTATTATAGCACGTTTATCCCGAGCTGTTCTGACACGAGATAGTGATCCAGAATGTTTTCTTCCTCCATGATTATCGAGATTTCACTTTATGATTTTTGTTAACTATTTTGGCCATTTTTTGTTGCAGTATAACGTTCTTCGTTCAATCTCAATCACATCGTGTGTATTTCGGCTAGGTTTAACTTTCTCCCCAGAAATTAATTCACTAATAAGCGAATGAGTTGAAACACGATAATGTTAATACGCACCTAACTAACTGTACTACACGCGAATGTTACGCTTTCGATAACTTCTGTACGACTGAGGAGCATAAATATTCGGACTAGCTCGATTCTGTCTGCCTCGAGGCTACAGGCAATATTTACATTTTCGTTTTTGTATTTCTAAGAAACTCCGTGGCTCGGTTAACATTCGACATAATACACGTAGCTAATCAATGCTCAATATTGATGCTGTAATAATCTACGCGTTAGTACTTACGAAACATAACATAAGGAAATATAGAGTGTGTGTGCTGGTTTTATGAAAATAATCCGTAGTATTATAAAAACATAAATTATATTATAAATTTTTAAATAATGACATCAGTAGATGGTACAACTATTAACTAATGATTGCTCGAATATAAAAAAAAAAAAAAGATTTAATGTCAAAGAGAAAAATTGAATTTGAATTATTCGAAGCTCATTTATAAGAAGAACAGAAAGTTTGTTACTTATGAAAATAAATTATGAAAATAAATTCTGCTTGAGCCCTTGGATAACAAATTCTCACTTTTGAGTGATTGCAACTCCTTCAGCGATGATTAACACTAAAATTACCAAAATGGTCAAAACGACCAATTTTAGATAGATGTAGAAGAATGCATTTTTCAAAGTGCACTGTATTATAAAATTTTTCTATCTTTTTTCTTTTTTTTACTTTAACGTCTCTGACGGGAATTTTACCCTTCAATCGTCGATATTTTCAGAGTTAAAAAAGACAAATTACACCTAGCAAAAGAGCAATAAAATATCCAAAGACCCAGATTCCAACGAAACATTTTCCTCCCTTATTAATTACCTCGAACCGTAATTTTCGCGTAACAGAAAATCTCATCGCTTTCATCGTGCTCCGTCAGGATTTTCTTCCCTTCCATGGAAACAATCATGCCCGCTTCATCGTCGATTTTTATCACCGGACGTCTGCGATATTTAAATCACTGCGTGCGATCATGGCTGCACGTAAGATACGATACAACAATACCAGCTGGGTGGAAACGAGTTCTCTGCTCGTTTCGACGCGTTCTCTAATTAACGAAATTACCGAAGTAAATTCCATCCACGCCATTAAACGCGCGTACCTTTCTGCGAGTTGAAAACGCCTCCTTCGTACCCGAAGTTGAGGGAAGTGGAAGCGTTTTCGCCGATGATGATTGACCAATTCATTCGGCCCACGAAACCACTTTGCTCCGTTATTTCTCTCTTTTTTTTTTTTTTTTTTTTTTGCTTTTTACCATTGCCCGGCAGCGAAATTCTTTTTACACGAAAGCAACAACGAGAATGAGAGGCACGAAGGAGGCACATCGTAGCCTTGACGATATTACGCAGTAGCAACGTAGTACTTTTTCATTCAAAGTGAACCATTACGAGACGATGTGTGTGGAGTGAACGAAGTTCACGAAGACTTCGTCAGGCTAGAATGATTGCGGCATGATAGAATAATCGCGCACAACAGCGGAATTGTCTTCGCTGATGATTTCGAATTTTTCCCCCTGCATACCTTCGGAGACCATAAGAGAACTGTTTGTCTTCTGTTAAAGATAATCAAAATTCTTCCGTCAATGAAGAAATTTCTTTTGTAGAACGTTTATGTTATATCGATCTAACGATGAACTTGTGATATATTATACTGTACGATAAATCATTAATCTTGTAGAAAGATAGATAGATATAAGAAATTTGTGGTAATTTATAGTGTATGATGTATAAATTATTTATGCTATATTATATATTAATCTTGTAAAAAGATAGTTAATAGAAACATGAATTTAAAGTTATTTCATTATTTTATTATATTATATTACATATAAATTATTTATATATTATATGTTATATATTACATAAGGTTAATACATCATATTAACTTTAAAAAGTTTCTGAAAAACTGCAATAGTCCCGTTTCAAGAATTTTTTGAATTCTAAGACCAATGATCCTACAAATATATTAATCCTCTTTCTTTCATTTACACGATAAATACGAAAATAGATAAGAATAAAAATAGTCCAATTTCAATTACAATAGAGAGAGAGAGAAAAAAAAATAAAACAACAAGAAGCAAGAAATAAAAAAAAAGTCGAGAGAAACTTTTTCCAAAGGAAATTTCCCAACACTGTCGGTCTCAATATCGTTGCAACGTGAAAACTTTTATACTTTATGTCCTCGATATTCCGTTAAGTTACGCTATCACAGACCGAGCAAACAGGTTTTCGATGGTTACGGTTTGCGCCTGGGTAACTCGAATAACCATGCCTTCAACCTTCATTAACCTTTTTTATCAACGTCTTATTGGACTGAATCTGCCCGTACAATCCCTTAAAGTAAACAACGCAAACGGAAGTTTCATTCGAAGATTACACCGTGTCGCCAAACGGAATGCAAATAAAACGACGATTTCCAACCGCGACTGCAACTCTATAGATATATATTCAGGATATAAACGTAAGCGAGGACGACGTGTAATAATTATAAATATTTATCTGTAATCTACATCGTCTATTCTCCACCATCAGCGCGTGGACTTTTTAATGGAAAATAAGGACAGAGACATTGATTGAACGAAGAAAAACTGCCAGGCATAATGTACGAACGCGAAATGAAATTGAAACAGTTTTCTTAAAGCAAAGACTGAACGTGTTCGATTCAATTTGTTCGATTATAAAATTATTTGAGGGAACTTCGTTGCATCAATAACATGCTAGGCTTTTTT